GCTTTAATCGCTTTTGTGTTGTTCATAACTTTCATGGATAACAGCGATCCTTCTATATTCTAGCTTGCCACCACATCCATTGCTGTGAACTTATAGCTATTAATCGCTGATTATTCGATAAATATTTGCTATTGTCATGAGGTGCTAGTACGAATTACCTTTTTAAAAAATGCAACATCTCGTTCCATGGTATCTCTTGTCAGAGCAAAACCATGAGAAACTGGAAAATAATGGCAAAATAATATTGATCGGCCTTATTTTTTGAGTCTTTTGAAGTCAAAAGTCCCTAACAACCATAAATTTTTGACAACATTTTTAGGTTTATACTGAAAAGAGATTAAAAGTTTTGCTTGAAGTTGGTTTAGTTGGCTGTAGTCACTCAATCATTAAAACAAATCTATTTTCATAATACAATCCAAGATTCTGGATAAAAGGCCCTCCTTGATCGATTGCACATCAAAATCAGAACATAGGTCGCACATCTTTCTTGATCGATTAATACTGAATTTTTTCTTACTTAAACTATGTACAAAAATTGTTGACACATGGTTTGAACAATTAAAGTTAGGAGAGATACATCATTCAGCTTTGAACTGCTTCAGCCGAGGAGTCCTTTTTTGTCAGCCTAACATTGGATAACTTCTAATCGACTAATTGACCGGTAAAAGTAAGAGTACTGACTTGTGGAAGAAATTTTCTTCTGAATAATATATTTAGTCAAATGGCAATATTTTTAGACGCTCTGAATTTAAAAGGAAACCCACGAACTTACCTTACAACTATGATAGATGCGTGGTGCAAGAAAATGAACGAAGACAAGTGTTTTGAAATTTTTGAACCAAATTGGCAAGATACATTCATCTTTTGTGTTTTTATATTGAAAACGTACTGGGCGGCTACTTTATTGCAATTTCAAGCTAATAGTTTCACAGTTCTGGATAAAACCTGAGAAGAGCACAGCGCAATCTTCAAAAAGATCTGTGAAAATTCAGATTCGCGAGTTTTCTAGAAATGGTTATCATGTTCTTGTTCAGTTCAAGGACCTAAGCGCAAATTCTCAACAGTGTGTCGAATTGAACGTATGCGAAGTTTGATTTGGATCGTACGCTAGCAAATATAAGTAATCGGAAAAAGCACACAAACACACAATCATTATAGGATCTCAAGCCGGCTGCTCGCGTATTTCGATCTCAAAAATTCTCATTTAAACTCGTATCTCAGAATCATCAAAGTGCAAATGGTCTCCTGCCAACAGTGCACAGCAGCCTCTCGAATTAGTGGGCCATCTACACGTTAGATTTCACCACTAGATATGTGATAAGATTACAATATACAGGTCTTTTCCAATTAAAAGGTCCAAGAGCCCGACTTTAAAAAAGTGCTCTAAGCACAAGTCCGGCGGCAATAAGACGACAGCAATGATGTCTTGTGGATACTGATGCAGCTATGTGACTTTGCAATTATTAAAAATTTGTGAAATCTTGTGTTCAGAATGAGGAACCCTGCAATATGCTAAAAAATGATTGATTACTTTGAAGAAATTGGCCGTTTATGTTACGTAAAAAATGAAAATGGAACAGCTTCTCCTCTTCCTCTAAATTGCCTATATCGGCTGATTTCATCTGTGAAAGAAGGCAGGCAAAAAAAAATCTTGCTTATCGTCTGCCTTTTGGCTCTTTTTCTAGTAAATTTGTGGTTTCAGTTATCAAATTAGTATTAACCCTTCCAGTATCTGCTGCTGGAATATTTAGTTCTATATCATACTGCATTCTACATATCAATTGCTTTTTATCGATTTACTGTATTCTGACATTTATCACTCTGGACCGCTCTGAACCTTCGTACAAGGCTGATTACGTGTCATGACATACAATAATCATTTCAGCTGATTTCATTGATTTACTGAATTCTCACATTTTCTGCTCTAGACTTCTCATGGCGCACAAGGTTTGGGGATATTACATAATAATCGCTCCAGATACGTCGATCGCTGCTGATCGATT